GAGCCGCCCCGGCCTGCCGCTCGACTGATAGGCCCTGAGGCGGGGGAGAGCCTCCCGGCGCCCGGCCGCCGCCCTGAGAGAGCTCGCCCGGGGTGGGGGCCGCGGAGAGCTGGCCCCCCGCTCGGTGCCTGTTGGGCAAAGGACATCGAGGGATATTCTTTATTCTGACGAAAGTCGACTCTTTCTTTCGTTTTTTCCCCCGTCAAGGTGCGATGCCGCCTAAGGGTCGCGGCAGAAGCAAGCTGCCAGTTCCTCTCCCAAAAGACATGATCCTGAAAGACACCGAAGGAAAAGCCTGGAGGCTGGGCGGTCAGATCGGCCAGGGAGGATTTGGCTTGATCTATTTAGGTAAAATCCTGGTGGTGATTGGAAGGATGACTTGCAAATTTCTTTGTAACTTTCTGACATGAATGTGACAGAATGGGTTTTAAAAGTTACTGTTGTTTGCGTGCTGGTGGTCGTCTGTGTTGAAGGGTGGTTTTCTGACGTTTGCAGCGCCCTGTTGGGCATCCTTGCTGTTCAAAGTGTTGCTGATGGTGCAGCGTGTTCTCCGTGGGCTGCCCAGCCCAGTTTGCTGGCTCCTAGTGCACTTTTCTATGGAGCTTGCGTGGGGTAGGCAAGGTGCTGCTGCTGTCAGACTGACGAAGAGCGCTGCCAGGCAATGCTCTTCAAAGTAGCTCTTCAAAGTAACGGCTATGCTTTCGTGCCAGTCTTGTGCTCTGGAGCGCTCTGGGTTTCTGGTTATTGGAAATGTTATCTTCTGGCCAAGACTAAATCGGTTTTCATCCGAGAAACATAACAGTAACAATAGTTACCTGGGTGTTGCCTCTGAGTTAAAGTCTTTCACCAGAGGTGGAAATGCTGTTCTTTATTTGCTATAGCCTAGACATGTTTCTGTATTTTCTTCAGAAGAAGCTGCTGCATTTCACTCAGTCTGTGTCTTATAAGGAATGAATGGTTCTGAAAGGCAGTTTGTAAGGCATTCTGAGTCACTGGAGGGGATATAATGTATGTTACTATTGCTGGTCTCTATGAAAGAGCAAATCCTGTTTTCAAGGCAATATTATGTGTGTGGGTTTTTTTGGTGTGTGTCCCCCCCCCGACAAATATATACAAGCAAACTAGTCCACAGTGACTGTTAGGGACTAAATTGAGCTTGTATTAAGACAGCAGTAAAGAATTATCTAGAAACAGTTTAGTACATCGTCCCTGGAGCCAAACATGATCTTTTTAAGTTAGAGTGTATGTTAACTCTCTATTTGGAATATTAATGTTTAAAACTTGATAAGCAAGTCACTCCTATGCATAACACCTCCTTTTTTTTTAAGCTTTTCCTTTTTGTGTGTTTCTGCCATGGAAAATACAGTTTTGATTGTTTCCCACTTTTGGATTTTTTCAGTTGATCTCTTAATGATTTTTTCCTTCATAATGAGTCATTTGTCGGAAAATAATCTGATCATACACTGTTATGCAGCATGACCTTTCCACTTAGTGTGATTTCCAGATTTTTATAATGAGACAAGCTTTCATTCAATTCTGTTGTCTTTAGTAACTCCTTTCAAATCTGCAGAGCTGTGCTAGATTCAGTGTGGTTTCATGGAGGTGAAGGAATTGTGCATCAGTGTCAAATTGTAGCACCAGGCACCTACTGTACAGAGAAAAAGTATGCTTTTTCTGTAGAAGGGTTAGCATGTTTGCTCTTGTTGTATTTGCAGACATAAATGTAGAACTTGTGTGCCACTGGTCTCTTGGTGACAGATTTACTGTGATCTTTGTTACATGTGTCTGGCTATCTCATGGTACTTGTCTGCTTTGAGCTGTTCAGGAACATTTTATATTGCACTGAAGTGTTCTTCCTCTCCCTCTTTCTTTTTCTCCTCATGTCCATTATGGTTAATCACAAAGAACTGAATGGCAACTGAAGACTCATATTTTATTTCATGGTGTGATAGTCCCATATGCGGTCAGATGTTGCTTCTCTAAAGTGGTTGCCCAGTTGTACTGTTCTTGCAGCTATTAATGTGTGGCTGTAAACTACAGGAGGGTGGACAATTTTACTTGTGCACCTGGACTTAAGTTGCATCTAGACTTCAGGTTTGAGTGGAGAAACTTTCTAGAGGGGAAAAAGGTGTAAACTGGCTTCTCGAAAGAAGAGGAAAGCGCACTTTGTTCCACTGAATGCCTGTGTAAATGAAGCAAAAAGATTTGAGTAACAACCTGAATGCCACTGCTTCTGCTTTTTCACAAAGTAAGCAGTCACTGAAAAACCTGGAGGAAACTAAGGCTGTGAATATGTTTGCAAGTAGTTCGGTGTAACAGAAGTGAATGAGTAAATGGCAACAGTTGGTGTCTATGGCCCTACGTCTACCCTATATTTAAGTTGAGAGTTTGTTTTACTTTGGACTAGATTTGGTGTGGTCTGCTGCACTGAATTGCCTCACCAAGTGCATGGTTTGAGGCTGTCTGAAGGAACTATTTTGAATCCTTATGTTGCTGTTAGTAGTTGGAGTGCATTTGATAGATTCCTGTAGTGGAGTTTCTGGTTTGGTTTCGTCTGGAATTTATATAGTTCACATGTACCTAACTGCTCTGCAAACTGAACAAGTGGGGATGGTAGGGGTTTCAACTAACTGCAGTTACAGAGGAGTCAAAGGCTAGTGCACTTAAAATATTTACATTATTTTTCCTTTAGATATATCTGATAGCTTTTTATGACCTTCTTTGGAACATCAGTTGGTTACATTTGAGAGATGCTGTGCATAGAACATATATGAGATGTTACCATAAGAAAAGTAGACCTTAGTGAGAGCTAAGAAGTGAAGTCAAGGTGTCTCTGGATATTGCGGTTCAAGGGTAAAGGAAAGGAAGATGGAAACTTGCAGAAGGCTCCCATGGAGAGGAAGGACTGGGGCAACTGGGGATGCAATGCAGAAAGCAAGGTTGTAGTGGGTGCAGTTCTCCACATCTAAGACAAAAAATGTGTTCCTGAATCACTTGGAATATAGCTCGCTCATTTTCTGTTGCAGTCAAATCACACCAGACCTTGTGGGTGGTAAAGCATGTGGGATTCAGTCAGTTTCATGCAGATTTGATTAGTTTTCTGCCTGATCACACAGACCACTGAGGTGATTTCATGTGTTGTGGTGTTTGTTGCAGTTTGGCTCCTGCTG